GGGTCAAGGACTCGTAAAAAACATTCACTACCAGGTAATATTAATGAGAGATTGATTCATGCTTTAAAACATTACATAATATGTATTATAAATACTTAAAGATTATACAAACAAACAACCCACTGTAAATAAAATCAATTACTATTAGTACAAACAGGAAGAAATCTGACATGTATATATAAGTATGAATAAGTATATCCTGAAATATTTTTTATCCAATAACTATATATGTGTGTTACTGATAATTTAAATGATGGAATAAGTACAATATATATGTATGTTAATATACTGTAACTAGTACACACAGCTAATGTTCTAGCTGCAAAGAATTAATGAATTATCGTTGTCAGCAGATTATTTTATTTTATAAAGAATCACTGTTACATGTGTAGGAGGAACACAAGCATATATGTGCTAAGAAATAATTCTTGTAGCGAAATCTTTAAAATCAATGTTATTTAAATTGTCACTCTGAATATTAAGAATAAAGGCCATCCTTCTTCTAAGTTCTAGGTAATTGTTAGAGGGAATGTATTCTTCCCTTGTGTGTTATAACTGTAAGCAGAAGCAATGTGGTATTTCAATATTATTTTACTTTCCTCTACCTGTGTGTTTATTAGAATCAGTAAGTAACTTATATAATAATTAATACTTAACAATAGATTGAATATTCNCTATTCTAGGTACATGTACATGTACTTGTGTGTGACACAAGTGTTTTCAATTGGCCACCAGTATTTGTTAGAGGGAGTATGTGACATACATTGTATATACGTATTTGCCAACAAACATTTAAAACCCAAACACTTTTAGAATTTGTCTTTGAAATTTGGATATCTAAAAAAAAAAATGTTCAATCCCATAATTTCTGTAAAATCCATATATAGCCGTGTAAAGGTAAATGGTACATTATAGGCTTAGATGTAAGTGATTTTTCACAAGTCCATATATTGAAAAAAGTTGAAGAACTGAATGTTAAATCCATCTCATTCTGTACATGTATATTACACCAATAAAAAAGCTAATGAAACACACCTGAATCCTCTGGAAGTATCAGTTGTAAAAATGCACAGAAAAGAAAACATAAAAGGCCTATTCAAGCATTCAGGTCGACAACACAGGCACCTTGTTTACATGTACGCGTAGCAGCCAGTTATTCTATACATTACTATATGATTCAGCTTGGATCTAGACAGTTCAGGTATGTAAAACCAGTCATAACACACAAAATGGTATTGTTACCTCAAATGTAGTGATAAATACTGTATGAAAATTGACCCCGGGTTACATACGTATTACATGTACATACACCTTTATCCAAATTCGGCCCACAACCCGTACCCAATTTGTACCCACTACATGTAGTCATAACCTGGGAATTTCTGGTAAAAAACAACAACCACAAGATAACATTGTGGATCCATACATTTTGACTTTTGGTCAAGGGTCATTATATATCCTTCGCTTTTTAAATGAAACTAACGATAAATAAAGGTAAAAACAATTGAAATATGTTACTAAGTGATATATATAGTTCCTGATATTCATTTAGGACATTATATTCTAAGAATGATCGGGTCTCTCTGACACAATTTAGAATGCCTCTAGATCCGTTTTCTCTAACACTGACTGGGTATGTATATATGAAAGGTATACGATAACGAAATTTTAACAACACTGTACCTTTAAATGTATTATTAATAGCTTTATGGTCCATTAAATAGATGATATCACATTTTCTGACATGAATATTGAGAAATGTATACATATTTTCATTATACTCCCGATATCAAAACTACTGCATTTTGTTAATATAGACTGAATACTGAATCTGATAAGCATACTATCTGCAGATACAACACTTTCGCTGGCAAACATTTTATAAAAAATAATATGTCTATCTTGACATATAAGCAAGGCAAATTATTGAGAGTAATCCACTGACACCGTCTCCGACAAACTAAGATTACAAATGAACAAAGAACTTTAACTCTGTATATAGTGAGGTATGAGACTTAATCATCTGGGGACACACTACCGTCCCACAAGGTACCACATACTGGTGGTGACACACTATCATCCCCACAAGGCAACACATACTGGTGGTGACACACTATCGCCCAACAAGGTACCACATACTGGCAGTGCCACACTATCATCCCTCAAAGTACCACATACTGGTGGTGACACGCTATTATCCCAAAAGGTACCACATACTGGCAGTGACACACTACCGTCCCACAAGGTTCCACATACTGGTGGTGACACACTTCCGTCCCACAAGGCACCACATACTGGTGGTGACACGCTATTATCCCAAAAGGTACCACATACTGGCAGTGATACACTACCGTCCCACAAGGTACCACCTACTTGTAGTGACACACTACCGTCCCACAAGGTTCCACATACTGGTGGTGACACACTATCGTCCCACAAGGAACCACAAGGTACCACATACTGGCGGTGATACACTTCCGTCCCACAAGGTACCACAAGGGACCACATACTGGCGGTGACACACTATCATCCCCACAAGGCACCACATACTGGTGGTGACACGCTATTATCCCAAAAGGTACCACATACTGGCAGTGACACACTACCGTCTCACAAGGTACCACATACTGGTGGGGACACGCTATTATCCCACAAGGTACCTCATACTGGCAGTGACACACTACCGTCTCACAAGGTACCACATACTGGTGGCGACACACTATCGTCCCACAAGGTACCACAAGGTACCACATACTGGCGGTGACACACTTCCGTCCCACAAGGTACCACATACTGGTGGTGACACGCTATTATCCCACAAGGTACCACATACTGGTGGTGACACACTATCGTCCAACAAGGTACCACATACTGGCAGTGACACACTACCGTCCCACAAGGTAACACATACTGGTGGTGACACACTATCATCCCTCAAGGTACCACATACTGGTGGTGACACTATCGTCCCAAAAGGTTCCACATACTGGTGGTGACACACTATCGTCCCACAAGGTACCACATACTGGCAGTGATACACTACCGTCCCACAAGGTACCACATACTGGTGGTGACACACTATCGTCCCATAAGGCACCACATACTGGTGGTGACACACTATCATCCCACAAGGTACCACATACTGGTGGTGACACTATCGTCCCAAAAGGTACCACATACTGGTGGTGACACACTACCGTCCCACAAGGTACCACATACTGGCGGTGACACACTACCGTCCCACAATGTACCACATACTGGCGGGGAAACACTACTGTCCCACAAAGTACCACATACTGGCAGTGACACACTATCGTCCCACAAGTTACCACATACTGGCATACAACATTTTGCAAAAAATTATAAGTGACAGAGTACGAGATATTCTCCAGACAAAGTTACTAACAATGAAAAAAGGGCCATAAATCTATATTCACTGCTCAATATGAAATTGTATTTCTTATACCCTACCAAATTCAGAGAGCATTCATACCAGTCATGAATACCACAACCAGGGTGACGATGTCATCATAATTGCAACAATGGATACCACAGGTGCTGGGGTTCTGGAATATATGTGATATATTATCGCACCCCACTAGATATTGCATCCACTTACACTGTATAAGGAGAAGCAATATCTAGTGGGGTGCGATACCTAGTGGGGTGCAATAATATATCACATATATTCCAGAACCCAAGCACCTGTGATGGACTAACTGGCACTTGATTGAAGATGTTGTTACTTTGTATATGCAACATGGATATTTATTTGTTAGTTATGAGTTATCCATTATTATTATTATTATTTCCTTTATTTCCTCCAGAAATGAAGAGTTACAGAAATAAAGAACAATATACACGTACAATTCAACACTTTTGAAAGAGAAGAAAATGCATTCACAATGATGGTAACACCCTTAAATAGTGACACACACATGCACATGGACAGACACACACATAAGAGAATAGTAATTGTACCCGCATCATACCATAAAGTACTATAAACACAACACAATGATTTAATAGGTACTATTACAGTCATTATACAGTGATAATTATGATGATAGACAGCTCACTAATCATACATTACATCACACATTGATATAATACGAAGTATTTACACTGCTCAAACTACATTATCATATATATACTAGTATAGACAGTAATACACTTCTAAGCAATCATACAACATTGTAATAAACAGTTTTACAAGCATCACACTATAAATTATACAGCATTATTATATAATGATTGATAGAACCTTGTTCTCCTGTGATGTGACACATAACCATCCAAAGAGGTAGTCTTACATACACATGTCATGTAAGCCCTGAACAAATAAATACATAGATGGACACAGTGCAAATCTAGTGTTGACGATTCCTACCAGTTACTCTGCTGGAAGACTAACAAAAGGGTCTGAGAATGTTATATTTTGTTGGGTTGAAAGGGATCCTTTTTTTTTTTTACTTTTGTTCGACATAACTGACTAGAACACTCAGTATGACTTCAAACAGGATGTGTGTACCTTTCCTGACTGATCAGTGATATGATAATCAGATCCTGTGTGATTACGTGCATCTTATTTTAAACTTGATCTCGTACAGTTTAATGGTTTAACAAGAAATATCGCTTGCTGTTCTTTGTTGTGAATATAAGTCGCTTTTTATATTACATATCGTGTTATCGCAGGCTCGACAATAACCGGAACAAGGCCGTAAAACCCCATCAATCAATACAAAAAGTTTCAGTACCTATTATTGAGGTAGAACCGATATGCGTTACGTTAGGCATATATACTACAAAGAAACGCTGTATTTGGCCACTCCTCTCATAACTCCTGTTATCACCCGTGTAAGTCAGGTCGTCATTGAATGAACTTTAAACCTAACAGATTATTGGACGGTTCGTACGTACAAGTTGAATTGTTAACTTAACCAAAAAATAAATAAGTTATGACATCGACTATATATATATATAGCGAGTTTCACTCTTACCTGGGACATCGGTATCCTCTTCCTCGGCCACAGTCTCTAAGATATCCGACAAACAAAGTGAAAGTGCAAAGAGAAACACACATAATGTGTAAATAACAAATCCGTAAGTATCCATGTTGAATGTTGACAACTTTCACATTTCTACTTAATTATTAAATCCTATCCAATGTCGTACGACTCCGAAACACCCATATTTCCACCAGAATACACTGTTGTGACTGAAGTGTGTATAACGTTTGACGACTAACCAATTGCGCTGCATATCGAATGACCTTGACATTCCTCACCCTCAGCCAATCAAAAGAATCAAAACAAAGGGCCAGGGAATGACTATAGCCTATTCCACAAAAATACGCATAGCTTGTGTATAGTACACAGCGAGTTTTATCGATTATTAAATTTCACGTGTTGCCGCGTCAGATTCAGGGACGAAGACTAACTTTAAATGTCGTGAATACAAATCCATTTGTATGTAGCGAGGACGTTAATCATTTCATTTCAAAATTAGTTTATTGTTGCTATTATCAATAGGATTGGGCGCAATCAAACATAACATTTCAAACAGATGCAATTTAGGGTAGGCCAGAGACGTATATACTACAATGGCTTTATATTTATATGTCTCTGTGTAGGCCGAACCATTCAGCCAGTTTTATGTTTATATAGAGAGAGATTAGTAGTCTAATTGGAATATCAGAGATTTTAATAGGGTAGATATCCGTTACAAATAACTGAAATACACATATGCTTTACTGATGTGGGTCACAACACATGTCTGAAATTAATACACATATGCTATACTGTTTTGGGTCACAACACATGTGGTTAGGGCACTTAAAAGCCAACATCACTACACGTACTTACACTAGAATTGCAGGATATTAATTAATGATACATAATATATGGTAGAATAAAGTTATAATCCAGGACACAAGAGAGTACAAAAAGGTGTGAATCCAGTCTGGTATAAATGCATTGAAATATCGGTTCGATACTGAGAGAAAAAGAATAAGAAGTTTATTGAAGATATTAGCTGCTGCTCTTTATTTTTATTTAATTCATAAACGGGCATCTTGGCAATATTTTACCGAATAATTCAAAACAATCACGGTACGCCAAATATATTAAAATTACACCTAGCTCATCATAATTTAAGACCCATGCAATTCAATTGAAGATTTTTTAATTGTATAGTACTCACCTTTAACTCATTTGGAGATAGCATCAAATAAGACATTTGAAATACATCTTCAATTGAGTCGAAGAAAACAGTTTTCCTTCAGTTAAGTTCAAGATATTTTCAGTTTACTACATGTACGTTGTACTTATACAAGTAGCTAACAGGTTTACTTGAAGATAAATCAGTTCAATACTAGGTATCTTCAGATAATCGAAGGTAGGTGTTATTAATTGTACTATCTTGAATGAAATTGAAAATATCTTTATTTTAATTTACCATGTATTCAATTAAATTATGCATATCTCTAATTGTACATGTCTTAATATTTTGTGATAAGCGTAATTATTTAAATACAATATAAATGCTAATTTGGCGTTCGATAAAGAACTATCACCAATAGTAATATTGACGTGAACGGTTAAATTAGGACCTGGACCCTTTATGTAAAAACGAATTCTACGCTCTACTCAACAAATCAGTAACGCGAGGTTACAAAATTTAAACAAGCCCTTGTCTTTAACTTTGTGTATTAGATATCAGCGGCGTTTTAGCATGGGTATGGTGGTAAACTTTGTTTGCACCCACCAACTAACTTTATACTATCTATAATTTAATTTACTTAATCTAACACTTTAGTACTGACGTCACAATGTATGATATTACAATAAGTTTGGTCGTAGAGTATGTTCGGCCACCGATGATATTTTCGGTCTTGAGCAAATACTCGTAACTTTGAGGGTCTTTCACGAAAAATTGTGAGGAAAGCTCAATTGCAAAATTACTAAAGGGAGTTTTTTTTTTTTTTTTGGAGCATAGAAAACAAATCTTGACCTCATTTTATCTAGCTTTGCGAACTTTCTGTAAACCGACTTGCTATTTATTTATGTCATACCTGTAACACTCTGACAGCTACACATGCTAGTATCACGGACTCAGATGATCTAATTCCGTGCTAGTATTCATAAAAGCCTAGCATTGGCTTTCGTATTGAATTTATTGAAATATCAATTCGGAGCAGGTTCGGCCTATGATGCCGGGACAATCGTCAATTTGGCGGGGAAATTAGACTTGCATGCTTTATGACGTCATAACTATGCTGCTTTCATACCCCAGACTGCCTGTCCGATCTTGCCCCAAAGCGTGACACGTTCGACCAGAGTCCTACAATCTTCTGACAGAAAAAAATATAAAACATTTTTCTAATACGAACGTGTTTTCCCTTTTTTTTATTATTTTATGAAAGGAATAGATTTTCTTTTCTAAATTGTGTATATTCCCATAAATGTCAACACTTAAAAGTGTTATACTGCCCAGAACGACTTCAATAAAAATGAGTCGAACTTGCCCCGGTCTACCCTACCTACGGAGTGAATATGAAAATGGATTTGTTTGAACAGTTCCGTTCAAACAATTTCCAAGATGCACGGAAGCGGATCTTTGAGAATATGTTTGAACGGAACTTTATCATACTACTGTAAAAGTTAAAGATATGTATCTAAATTTCATATATATTAACGTCAAAAACAACAATGAAAACTATTATTTAATGTTCTTTGTGGCCATTTCTGTTAAAAAACCTATCATACAGCTATTTTTGCGGTAGCATGATCGTGCGTATTTTGGTAACCAGTTACGTCTGGCAATGAACAGCATTATATCCGTCATGATTTTAATTGGACGAAACGTCATGATTGGTTTTCGATTACTCAAACAGTCTGACGGGAAGATCCTAACAATTTCCGGTTGGAAAACATTCACGTGTAATGGTTCTTGCTGTTATTGGATTATAATAACATTTTGGTTTGGAAGGTTTATCTAAGGACTCTATAAAGGAAATGAAAACTTACAACGATATGATTGATAGTGTTTACCATAGCATGCACGTTTGGGTAACATTAAAATTCTAGCTGAGGGTATATAATTTGGGATGTAAACCTCGCTAAGTACCTGAGAATGTAACGTTTGTCGCATGAACGTCACCAGGGATGAACGTATTCCGTCTTTGCATATTGCAGAGTTATCTTCTCTTGTGAGCAGGTATTGATTGTTACGTCATTGGTTTGTGTAAAAAAAATACGTCGTTTTCTCAAAAATTGATGACGTTACTCTCACAAACCAATGACGTAACAATCAATACCTGCTCACAAGAGAAGATAACTCTGCAATATGCAAAGACGGAATATACGTCATGTCATGGTTAACCGACGTTAACGGCGATTGACAAGACCGTGCATTTGCGTCAAAACGCGTACGTATTGCACACTTTTTTCGCGGAAACAATGTCAAATCATAATATTCTGTTAAACGTATGTAATGAACATTGTACGATTTAAAGGACCATAAAAGAACCAACCAACATTGGTACAGTTATTTTGACATTAGGATAACTACTTTATCAAAATGTAACGCGGTAATCATGTGTGACATCACCATTGTGACGTCACAAGGACCAATACAATGAGACAAAGTTAAGGCCAGTCGGATGATCCTTTAACTTTCACTTTTGTTAAAATGACTTATTGTCCATGGTTTGGTTGAGCATTTGGTTAATGGAATCTCAAAATTGGCCCGATCTCATTTCTCAGTCACTGCTATATTTTTATGATGGGTGTCGTTTGAAACCCTCTTTGTATATAAGGTACATACATATGGCATTTCCCTTACGGTTGAGCTGTAACTGTTAACGTACTCATTTCAGCGATGATTTTATATTCGCATTTTCTATTAAATATGAATGTATTACCTTGTATACATCCATGGTGGTACATGATGCAAACCAGCTCCATCGTCAGTTGGGTTCCTTCTTCATTGGTCGTTTCGGCGCCTCCACGACCGCCTCCGAAGGTGTCTCGACTGAGGTGATCAGCCTCAAACCGGAACTAGACAGATTCGTCGCCATATTTGCAAGATGTCTGCTGCAGAGAGCATAGATTACACTGTCCATAACTGTCAATGTTAACGTTCATTACCACTGCTACGCACATCACTAACTTTCCCTCTTCCACTCTCTGTCTCGATTTCTCCAAATCCACAGGGACGATGTTTCTGCTTCCCTGCCTGCTTTTCTGCATACCCGTCTTTTCTCCTGACCGGTCACACCAATGGTACATATTGCTCTCCACAACAAGTGCCCCGCAAACCCCTGCAGCAAACTTCCACAGACATGTCCGCCAGCCCTTCTCGTGACAGGTCCTGACCAGATCTTCATATTTAGCCATCTTCCTTTTCGTGAGCTGCCTCAATCCTTTCCTCCCATGGTACAGTCAGCTCCAGGATCACAGCCTGCTTTGTTGTCCGTGACCTGATGATAATATCAGAACCCTGAGTTGTGACAGAAATCTCTGCCGGGAACGACGATCACCCTTTTAGGTCTACCGTCATCTACCAGTCTGCTGCTGTACCAAAGACTCCTCTAGTCTGATCTACACCTGTTCCTTGCTGTCCTTCTTTGATGAAATTCAGGAATCTTAAACCGGATGTTGTTGTTGTCTTTCCTTTCCTTTCTCTTTCCAGGGAATCTGCAATGGTTGCCAGGATATTGCCATGCCTCCACGTGTATCGACAGTCTCCCAATGCCACTTCATTAAATGAAAGCACACGTTCGAGATTATTGATTCTTCCACAAAGCTTGCACGGTGGGTCATCTGTAAATCCCCATGTCCGCAGGTTTTTCGGGCTGGGTAACACATCATACACCGCACTCAGCAGAAACGTTATCCTCGTAGTTTCCTTGGACAAGATGTCACTCCATTTCAAGGTCTGCTTTCTAGCTCCTTCCCAGTTCACCCAGCTGCCTTGCTTTCTCATTGCAACTGTTCTTGAATGCCTTTCTTCCTCCTCTATTGATCTTACCTCCCTCTGAACCATCTCTCTTGTCCTTTTCCATTTTGCGCCTTTCGTGCTGTCTCTAGTGTTTGTACCCAGTCCTTGTCTACCAGATGCCACTGTTTCGATGATATCACTATGTCGGAGCCTTGATTCTGCTTCGATTGCTTTTATTTGTACCCAGAGATACACGAACTGTAATTGCTGTATCAGGTCAAAACAATAATAATACACATGTACGCGTATAGAGTAAAATTTGGTCAAGCACATTTA